GGGATCCATCTCCGCGAGATGCACTGGAGCATGATAAACAAACATATTTGCATTTTCCAAACATTTCGAAATAATATTTGTTTTGTTGTTGTTAGTCGTCCCTTTTTTCCGATTGCCACATCCTCTCCTCTGACTTACATCTACCAGTGTCACCCCTCACTCCTTAGTTAGTCGACTTACGTCACACCCCCGCGCTTCCGGCGTGTATGCACTGCATTCGTAGGTTCGCCAAGCGTAGTCGGCGTTTTTTTGTTTCTTCTTGCAAACGTAGTCCAACTCCTCGCTAACGCGCTGTAAGTAACACTCGGTACAACCGTTAGATTGGCAGCGTCTTTTAGCAAGGAAAATTCCTTCTTGCCTCTTCTCGTATTGCGCTCAAGCATTCCCAAAATTTACTGTGCTTGCTAAAGAGAGACAACATGCGAGATTCCCTTCTGTTTTAAACACCATTTTGTAACCCCTTCCCTCCCCCGTCCCCCCCCGTCAGAACCTATGCACTCACTAGATTTCGCCCAAAAAGATATGCGGAAGTCAAGTAAAGTGTAGCTTCCGGAGTTCGGGGTCATGCGCCTATTTCGGTTCTTGTCCAGTGACGGGGGAGAGGGAGGAGGCTGATTTGCTACAAATTTAACACATTTGTTTTTTTTTTCTGTTTTAAACAGAATGGCTCGACGACTAGACTCTTAGAATTTCGATAACTTTCGCTAAGAATTTGTTTGTACTAATTGATAAATTCCGGGCTAAAGAAATGCACTATTAGAGAAATCAGAATTTGTCTTACCAAAGAAAACAGGACAGTGACCTTAAGAGGAGATTGCACTTCCTGATCCGGAGTGCAAATCACTAAGCAAAGTTCATCCTGCAATCACCTCTGATTAGAAACATTTCAATTCTAATTTTCTCTGAAAACCATTGTTGTCTCCTTCTTCTACTTCATTACTAAGTTAAAATTCTTCTGAGTCTTCTCTACCCTGAGGCCTCATTTAAATCCGTTACACAGTATTTATATTACTTATCTTGTATGTTCATAACTGAAATCATCATTGCCATCAAGAGAAACGTGGTTTTGATAGACATCATGTTTTGCTGGGTCAACTTGTGAAGTGAACGGATCGGCTTTGAAGAAAGTTGTTGTCCCATGATATGAAATACAATTTAATAGAGATTTATATCGACAACAGCTCTCTGTAACTGAACCTACTTGTAATTGATAGCTCAACTTGTCCAACTGAAATACAGACTTTGCTTTGGTAAAGAAGTTAAAAGTGTTTAATTCTTTCGGACTTCTTTCTCAGCCTTTACAATCTAAGCAGTTTTTTTTAGTTTGTTTACTCTGACCCAGATAAAAATCATTACAAACATTACCATGTACAAATTTTATGCGCCCCTTTTACCAGAAGTACCAGTTCTTTGGTCTTTCTTTTTCCTTTCCAATTTTCTGTGTTTGGTTACATTCCAAATAAATATTTGTTTCATACTCTTGTTTTCTAAAAGAACGACGAAAACGCACGCATAATTTTTTACAACACGAAGCCAGCAGAAACAAAGGAGCCACGTAAACTTGTATAGCTGGTTTGCAACCAATCTCTAGAGACACAGGTAACAATAGCATAGTGCAAAGATAATTTATACTTCCATGATTAGACCTATTATTGAATATTGTGACACAGTGTGGGGATGCTGTGGACAAGTAAATAAGAATGCTTTAGAGTCCTTACAGAGACGAGCAGGAAGGATTGTATGCAGAGCTTCAAGTAGCGAGGATGCGATCGAAAAACTGAATTTGACAACTTTAGCTTATAGGCAATCCAAGCACACTTTGAATCTAGGGGACAAATGTATAAATTGGCAATGTCCTCAGTTTTTTAAGAACTATTTTACTTTCAATAAGCATTCATATA